GAGAGAGGGAGAGGGAGAGAGAGGGAGAGGGAGAGGGAGAGGGAGAGGGAGAGGGAGAAATCACCCCCTGGGGTGGCTACACTGGATCCCCTCTCTTTGTCCTGCCAGGGTTTTGGGTGCACAGGCACCTGGCATGTTTTCCAAGCCGAGTCCAGGACTCAAACCGCACAGTTGGCCATGTGGGGTCCTTGCGCCCACTGCTGCCTGGGGATCTGCGCGAACCTTGTCCTTCCGGGGATCTGCCTTTGGTACCATGAGCATGGTGTCAGGTGCCAGGTGCGAGATCCAGTTCCCCTCGCTCGAGGTCTCCCAGCTTTCTTCAGATCTGGAAACAGTATCTTCACCGTGTTCTCAAATCCCCCCTCTTCCTCCCTGTGTGCGGCCCGCGGCTCCCGGCTGTCTGCACGCCCTCTTCCGGAGCCCGAGGCGCGCACTCCAGGCCCCTTCAGCGGAAGTGTGCGCCGCCTTGTGGTCATCTTTGCAACTGCGGCACTTTCCGTTTCATCCCTACCCCTCCCTTTGGTTCTGCACAAACCAAGCGTCTTGTTCCCATTCACACCGCAAATGCCCCCTCTCCAGAGCTGCTCTTCACCGCCTTGCCTGTCCACCCCAGCTCCGCTCCTGGAACCTGTGCTGGGGTGGCCACAGTGGGCGTGCGACGCCGCCGGGTCAGGTCCAGAGCTCTGGGCAGGGCTGACAACCCTGTCTGCACAAGTTGGGCAGAGGCCATCATCCGCACGCTGGGTGGCTGGGGGGCAGCCATCACCTCCAGCCTCGAGGGAGAAGCCTGGAGGGGAAGGGGAAGGATGTGGCCCAGGAGCTTGGAGGGGAAGGGGGAGCAGCTGGACACTCTGCTCTCTCCCCTGCTGTGCCCGCCTCTGCCCAAGGGGCCTAGAGCCTACAGGCACACTTGGCCCTCGCTCTCTGCCTCCTCTGGCCTCCCCTCCTCCTGACCCAGAGGGCGGCCCTTAGACTCCAGGTGCTCCCGGACCAGAAGGCCCTTGTCCTGGATAGGCCCTCAGGGTGATGTGGGAGGGCAACGACCCCGGGAAGTATCACCCCCAACCCAAGCTCTGGTCCTCTGGCCCACCTTGTCAGGGGCCCTGGGCCCTTCTCCCCGCGGCCTTTTGCGCAGGCTGTCCAGCCCCGACCCGGCAGAACACCCTCCCTCGCTTTCCCTGGCTGGAAGCTGCTCTGCCAGGCTCTCCCAGGGGACCTGCCCCTGGCCCTGACCCACCCTGGTCTGCTCCGTTGTCACAGTCTGGGATCGCCTCCTTGAGGACAGAGGGCGGGGTGGCACGGAGCGGGCAGGACCACCTCAGCGCTGCCTCGGCCCTCGCCTCCCGCAGCTCTTGCCGCTGGATGGGGAACTCGTCCTGGCTCCGGGAGCAGAATTCAGCGCCTCGGACACCGGCGCGGACCCGGACTGTAGCTCAGGTGCGGACCGGTGCGGGGCGCCGCTGGGAGGGGACGGTGGTCCTGGCCGGGGCTCGGTGGGCGTGCCCGGAGGCGGGGCTTAGGGGAAGGGCGTGCCCAGAGGCGGGGCTTGTAGACAAGCTGTGCCCGCGGGTTCCCTGCGGGGCGTTCCCTGAGGCGGGGCTTGCAGACAAGCTGGGCCCGGCGC